TCCAATCATTTTTTTAAGAACAGGAATTTGACAAAGAGTAGATATTTTAATGTCCATTTAAAATTTAAAGATGTTATAACATCATTAGGAAAACCACTGAGTGCTGTTTTGACTTTATGCCTGGTGCTTCTTTTATCTGTGGACAAGTTGTTCCCCTTAGCCAGAAGTGGAGGTCCACTTATTTACAAGATCTGGAATACGTTTATGATTAAATTTTGAGCTTGGATTTTCTGATTAGACCCTCAGGTTAAGCTTTTGCATCCATGGCATTGGTCGAGAGTATGTAGCATTGTAGAGAGATTATTGGTGAGCTAAAAGGAACTCAGAATGATAAAAGAGCCACCCTTGGTTGTTAATTCTTTTGAGTCTAGCTTGAAAGATACCTTCCAGATTCTGGGAGGGTGTTTGGCTTGGGGTATTGTTTGCTTGTTTTAAACTTTAAAAGATAGTGTTACTGACCTATAAACGTTGTGTCTTCATTGTTTCACACCCCAAACACACAAAATGGACTAGATAGAGGTGAGGTCAGCGCTGCAGGTGAGAACAAGGTGGCCTTTAGGGTGGAGGCCCTTCACTGTGAGGTCATTAGCATTCTTGTTTGAAGTGGCCACAGTTAGGGAGTATGTGCAGGGTAGGGAAGGAGTGTGGTGACATCCTCTCACATTTATTTTGGGAAGTCTAGCATTCTCCTATTTGAATAGCTTATCTTTAACTGGTGTCCACAATGAAGTCTAATTTGTTAACAAAATTTGTTTTAAAAAATACATATAAACTCATTTAGAGCTCAACATTTTCTTCATCTCTGAGTTTTCCAATATTTATGATTTTATTTCATCAATACATTGTTTGTTTTCATTTCTCTTCATTACCCTTTGTCTTCTCTTAGTGATTTAAAGGCTTACAATACATTCCTACTTTGCTGCAGAATTGCTTTTCTTTTTAAAGTAAGTCAATGGAAGTTTCATGTTGGCATACTAGAGTTAGCTAGTATTAATTGAATATAAAATATATGCCAACACTGGCGTAAATACTTAATCTTAAAGGTTATATTTGAGATGTTAGCCTCCATTGTACATACTGAAGAACTCAGGCACAAAAACAAGAAGTCCCATAACTAGAATAGAACAGCTATTAAATGGGTTGTTAGTAGAAATAGTATTTGACCCCAGGACTTCTGATTTTAATTCTGAAATTCCAACTATTAATCATTAATCAGGCTTTTTAGTGGAATCTCATAGCAGACAATAATGATAGAATGTTTATCTTATTCTTATTCTTTCCAATGTGTTTTCTATGCAATATTGAAATGCATTTTTTGTAACATGTCAACAAAGTCTAGAGATAGACCAGGAGCCATGTTGGTCATCATTAAAGCACAATTCTAGGTGGTGTGAAGGAATACTTTATCTTCAGAGTCAAAACTATGAGGTCTTCAGCTGGGATTCTGGAGCCACAGACTAAACAGAGTCTTTAAACATATGATATTTTACTTACGGAGTCATTCATTCTTTCTTCTTCCCCTGGGCTAGTTCACGTCTCATCATATTCATAATGGTTATTCCAGAATCACTTCTATGGAAAGAAAGAAAAAAAATACACATTCTTTGAAGAATTCTGTATTAAGTTTCTGCATGTTTTTCGCTTTAAAATTTATTTTTCTGAATTCCAGACCCTGAGGGTTGGGTTATCCATTTTTAGGTAGACCCATAAACCTTGGAGAAGCCATAGTGCAGAGGACTCAAGGCAGCATTTGAGTCCTCCCTCCACTCTCCAAAGCTATTGCCTTTGTTTAGTTATTACCACAGTCACTTACCAAGCTTTTTACATATTTACATCAAATGAATTTTAATGGTACCATCTTTCAGTGTTTTGATATAATATACAAAAAAAAAATGTTTTTTGGTCTCCCAAACTTTAACTTTGTTCTTTAAGTCTAGAGAATCATTAATCATTTCACTCCCCATCTTTAAAAGCTACCCCATGGTATCGCTTGTGGTTTTTGAAGACTTTTGAATGCATTCAAAAAGTCAGAACTGATCTATTTGTTTTGGTTTGTTCTTTATGATTTAATTCAACTCATCCACACTAATCCAACATTTGTTAAAAATTATATATTATAAAAAGGTTACAACCTCTAGTGATCTTTTTATGTTGGTGATATGAATTTGTTTGACTTTTGTTCACCCCATTTTAGTTATTATTTCAATGGGAAACTATTCACCATGGAATAATTCTTCCACACTCCTGCGAGCTGGGTTCATTCCCATGTTTCTTATTCATGTCTCAGCCATATCTAAATCCAAGACCTCCATGTAGTGGCTGACTTTCAGCTGAACCACAGATGATGACTTAAATTATGAAAAAACAAAACAAAACACAAAAACTTCCATTTGGATATAAATCCTCATTTTTTTCAAAAGGGACTTAAACAGATTTCCTACCCATGACAGTGACTTTAAGTACCAACCTATTTGGCGTATGTTTACTTGCTTATCTTCTATTGTATGTGGATGACCCACTAAGCTTTCTTTATCTCCTTTTAACCTCCTGGTAAAATAAAACTTTTTTTTTAATGGTTTGCAAATAATTTCAATCCTATACAAAGCAGCATCACAAAAATTGCTTCATTGCTCCTACTGTTTTTCCTTCATGATCATCTATCAATATTAGGAGATAGTTTGAATTACATGCCTGGCAAAATACAGGGCAGACTCCATGAGAAATAAATGTGCCACTGTCAAGAAAAGAAAAACTTCACTGTTTAGAAGTATTGAGGGGAAGGATTGTGTCCCTCTGACTCATTGAAAGTGTTACATGCCATTAGGCTTACTGTAAACTATCCCTTGATGAATTCTTTGCTGGACAATGAGCTTAAGAATCTGAGGTGTCTTCTTGCTTTTACTGAGCAGAATAGGACTCTGATGTTTAAATGGAAGTTGCAGAGCACATAATAGGATGTAGCTAAAGTTACTGACCTACCACATCTCACTTTCAGGAAAGTAGTGGGAGAGATTGTGTCTTGAGAAGAAAGGCATTTTAGAGGTAACCCTTTTAAGATTTCAATTAGTTATTTAAATATATGAATCATGAGCTTAAATGTAATATTACTTAAATGTCTGTTTTCCGAGGCCAGCTAGCCTATAGGAATCCTAACCAGCTACAGGGAAATGTGTTGTTTGCCTGGGACTAGCCCTATTTTTTTTTTTTTTCAAAGAACTGGGGCAAAAATGTTTTGGGTATCTGATATTTAATGATAGGATTTGGAGAAAATGTTAGGATTTTGTATGAATACTGTGATGATTAACTACAAAAGAACAGGCGATGATAATGTTCTGTTTCCTAGAATGATAATTTAGTGACATGTGTTTCACATTTGCACTGGTTTGCTATGGATAACTAGATATGGGGAGATTTATAAAAACATGTTTTCAAAGAAAAATTATGGTCCTTTTTGCAAAAATTACTCAAAGACATAATTGCTTAGGAATGCATTTGTCTGTGCTTTTAAATTACATATTTATGACACCTTTTAGGTGTTTATGCTCCAGCTGTCTTTTCTAATACTACAGAAAAATGTTTGGAAGATGTTCATATTTGACATTTTTCTAAACACCAATATCTTATTATGTTTTCAAACACAGTCTTTAAAAGACAAAAATGACCCTATACTAAGAGAATTAGACTTTGAGATTAACTAGAAGGGGAAACTATTGTAAAGTTTCAATAAAAAAAACTGATAAGAGTATATATACACTTGTATTAGTAACTTTAAAATACCATAATTATTGAAATATAGCTGAGAACCCCATTATATCATAAATCTTACTCTTTCCAGTTGTATTTTCATTTTTGTTAAGTTATCATGCATTTAGTTACTTTATATGCTTTTTTGTGTGCATATTAGAGACCTACACAATTGTTGACTTTATGAGCTTTTTACCTTAGCTACTTCAATGTTACTTCTATAATCTTAGCTCCTATAAATAATGCATACGAAAGAGCTATGTTCAAGGCCAAGTATATATTCAAACAACTTTTCTATAACCCACCTAGGGGACTATGATACCCATGAGTTGACCAAGTTAATGAAGTCAACTTTTATTTTGTAGATTTAAGATATTTAATCACTTCTACTCAAAAGATGGTTGCAAACAAAACTTAAGGTGCAAAACACATAAAGTGAAAGACTAAAAGTAAGACAAAAGAAAAGTTTGTGGCAGTATTTGTTAGAATGATTGGGTTATATTATGGTTATATTTTGTAAAATGTGTCATTCTGGAAAGAATATGAAGACCCAGGTTTAAGGCTGACAAATGCCATAATCTATCTGTATGATCTTGGTTAAGTCACTGATCCTATATGGTTTTTATTTTCATTAACTGTAAAATGAGAAAAGTATAGTAAGGGACTCTTTGAAAACACCTCTTACCCTGACTCCCACCCAGTTCTCTGAAACTGTAAGTCCTTGATCACTCAGGCATTTGTAAAGAACCAAGTACTATGCTTAGTCCCATACGTAATAGTTTGAAGGGTAGTGACCATATGTTTACAATAAATTGTGCAAACATTGTCACTGCTAGCACTCAATCCTAAAGTTCTGTAGAAATCTAAGTTTTAAAAAAATGAAGCCAAACAATGGGGATTTACAATGTGGATGTTGACATTTTAATCAACAACTTTGAAGGTATTTCTTGTCTTAGAAAGGGACTCTAAATATGATGTTTGACACAAGCTTAGGGCTAGCTATTTGATATTTCTATTTGACCTTTGATTGCTGCTCTTTTCTACCAACTGGCTTGTCCACAGTGATAGGACCAGAAAAGATAAAGTAAATAGTGTTTCCTGAGGGTTAATAATTAATAACCCGACCTTTCATCAAAACCTCTATGGATCTGGTTCCTTACTTTTTGTCATTGGCGGCAAGATGTTAACAAGAGAAGTCTGTATAAAAAAGCAATTGCTCTTTTGTTTCCCAAACAGGTATTACAAGTGGATAAATAATGTGCACTGCTCTGAGCCCAAAGGTACGCAGTGGACCTGGCCTCTCTGATATGCATCAGTATAGCCAGTGGCTGGCCAGCAGACATGAAGCTAATTTGCTACCGATGAAAGAAGATTTGGCCTTGTGGTTAACCAATCTGTTAGGTAAGGTTATAAGATATCATTCTGTGAGCAAAGATAACAGGGTTGTTTTCTTTGTGTCTCTCCTCCCCGCCCCCGCCCCCATATAGTATCCTTCACCTAAGCATGTGACAGCACCTTGGAAAGAAAGATTTCATTCTTTGGGTTTTGCATCTGGGAAACCTGAAGCATGTGGAAAATTTAAATGAATTTTCCAATGTCTCTCGCATTAACTATGCTTAGTACTTCCAATATCATGCATCGAAATGTGGAAATAGGTGGTCAAATTGTGTATTTCATCTATATGCCGATCTGATTTGCCTTTTTCTTTTCTTTTATGTAATGGACCAACCTGACCTATTCTTTGGACAAGGCCCCTAGGCCACAGTCTGTGAAATCTGACTTCTAAAACTAGATCGCTTTGCCCTACATTTATAGCATGTCTTCTGAAACTGCTGAATACCCAAACTCTAGAATGAACACATCTATGCTTCGTCCAAATGAGCTGACTGGAGTCATCTAACCTTGAGCTAAAATTTTTCTATTCATTTCACTTCTGTTTTTAGCTACTCTTCCAAAGGTACTATGAGAAAAATGCTACCTCATGCCAAAGCTGTCCCTTTTTAAATTCTTACTGTGCTGGCATAGTCATAAGATACAATTTCAACCATGTGCATTTTTTAAATCATGCCCATTTGAAGGATCATTATATATAGAAACACTCTTTTTACCAATAGTTTCTCACAGAAAACAAAATTGTTTTATGGCCCTTGGGAAGGACTCTTGTAAACATACAATATAAGATTTGAATATGGAGTAAAACATTATTTGTGTGATACTTTATCACCTGCAGAAGTGATTTTACCAGCATTATTTTATTACTTTAAGAGAAACTAAAGAGCTTAGTGAGAAGCACCCTGTCCACCTGAAATCTTAGTGAAGTTTGGAAAGGTTTTAGCACATTTTAGCCAGATTTTCCTCTCTTGCACCATGGTTTTTTCTTTTTTTACTTTTTTCTCACTGTGTATACCCTAGTTTGACCACTCTCTGTAGGGTAACCAGAGCTACTGCATATGAGTATGCCAAGGAGGAGCTTTTATCTCCATCACGTAAAGGGAGCCCAGTTAACCTAAGCAGGTGGATTTCCTCTCTTTATGTTTGTCCTTCCAAGGTTCACTAGTGATTGTTACACGAGTACGTAACTTATTATTTATTTGGGAGCTGTCTGCAGATATGGGCTTTCACCAATATGGCAATATACAATGGAGGTTAAGAGAATAGGCTTGCTAGGGACTGCCTGTGTTTGAACCCAAGAACTGCCACTTACATATCAACATGATATTGGGACAGATATTGGGACAGAAAAACTTCCCCCTCTGTGCTTCAGTGCCCTCATGTCATGTGGTGATAATACTAGAGCACACTTTATAAGGTTGTAATGGGATTACATGACTAAAATAGGTATGCTGTTTAGAAAGTGCCTGATATATTGTAAATACTATGTGTTGTTGTTATTCCAATTACATAGTTTAGTGATACTGTTAATTTTGTGGATATGTTTATTTATTTATTGAATAAATACTTGAGTGTGCCTCAGTGTATACTATTGGTTTAGAAAATATGAACAGTGGCATCAGAAGGCTTGAATTCAAGTCTTAGTTCCACCACCTCCTAGCTCTAAAATGCTGGACAAGTGTCTAAATGCAGCAAGCCTCTGTTTCGTCATCTATAACATAGGTATAATACTAGTATCAACCTCGTAGGATTGTTGGCAATTTGAATGAGATGATCACATTTATAACAATGTCTGGTGCATAGGAATTAACTAGCTATGGTAAATATGTGCTGTTGTGATATTTGTGGTCCAGACACAGTCTGCTAAGTACTGTAGGGTGGAGTGGAGATTAAGAATAGACAGAGTGCCTGTTCTTAGAAATGTTGTAGTAGATTGAAAAGGAAACATTAAGTAAGTCATTGCATAATTCATTAATTGGGCTTATTATAAACATTAAAAGATATAGGTTGCAATAAGAGGTGGGAATACTGCAAAGGATTGCAGGACTTAGGAAAATCTTCTTTAGGAAATCTAATATTTAAACTGAGGACCAAAGAATGATTAATAATGAGCCAGACGAAGCATGTGAGAAGAGCACGATTAGAGGGAATGGCTTGTACTGAAGTAGAAAGGAGTTTGGAACATTGGAAAAATGGAATGAGACGAGGGTCAATAGCACAGGTAAGAGAAGGTGAGTTTCGTGACACATGTAGGTGCTAGATTATGTTTAAAAAACATTATAATTTATTGTCTGATCAGTGAGGAGCCATTGAAGTTCCAGATAGAGGGAGATGGTAATTAATTAGAATATAGGCTGATTATACAGGTATGGTCCAAGGTCTCATGACTTGTCATCAAAGCCATTTTAGTTGGTGAATGTGATCAGTTTCAAAGCAGCTTGATCAGTGTGAGCAGCCCAGGACAGCCTCAAAGAATAGAGAGTCAGTATGTGTAATGGAAAGATCCTTGGAATAAAAATCAAGAGACCTGGCTCCTAACAGGATGTCAGGAGATCTGGCTCCTGACAGGATGTCAGGAGACCTGGCTTCTGGTTCTGGCTCTGCCACTCAGGAAATTTGCCCAGAGTCACTCAGCTATCTTTTCTGGGCTCCTTGTCCTCAGCCATAAAGTGAAGGGGTTGTAAACTCTCTCTGATGTCCTTTCCAGCTCCAAAAGTGTATGTTTCCAAGAAATCCATTTCTTGAGACCCAGTTTGAGATCAATATGCATAAACAAAGGAACATCATTTACATAAATGAATAATCTTTATTTTAAAGAATCAGGCTTAGGAGATTTTCTCAGAAAAGAAATCTTAAAAGAATCTCAAGATATAGTAAAGTACCACCTTGCATTGATTTAAATTAATAAAAGTAGATAGATAGTAGATCTCAAGTGGACTAGCCTTATGGTAACTTAAAAAGTAGAACAATAATGACATTTTTGAAAGTGGTAAACCACTTTGAGATAAGAAAATATGTGCTAAAATGGTGATGATATGAGGGGGACAAAATCAATAGGGCTTGGTTAGGAGATATTTTTATGACATATATTAGGTACATTTAGAATTCACCTATTTAAAGTCAGTAAAGTACACTTTAAAATTGTATATATTTACTGCCCATTTTATCACTTCAGAAATATTTTAAAATTTTTTAGTAACTCAATTATTGCTTTGTGTATACTTGAAAGTTAGAGATATCTTGAAAGTAGTTAGCTCCAAAGTTGATGCTGACTTTATATAACATATCTGATTTTTTTTTTTTTTTTTTTTGGTGAGGTAGAAGTTCACATTCTATAATAAATCTTTTAATTATATTTTTACCATTGTGATATAGAACTTGTGGAAAGGCTTTCTACTTCTTTTTAGTAATACTTGCTTAAAAGGACATTTTTTATGCCCTTCAAAAGGAGTATTAATGATGGTCTAAATTCAGATATTTCTGGTCCTTCATATGAAATATCAATTGAAAGATGTAGTTTCTTAAAGAATACTCAATTTGGATTTAGATATTCCTGCTAGATAAAATATATTGGATAGAGAAGAAAATTGTTTCATTGGTCCATAGGCCAGTATTCATATTCATATCACATATGGAGGTTTAATACCATAAGTTTCAAGTATATGATAATCAGTAACACTAACACATACCACTTTAGTTTCTTAGGCCTGGAATTAAAGGAGCAATAGCAAATTTTTAGATTAAATATTATTTATGTATAAGAACATAGACTGCTAGCTCTCTTATAAAAAGTTGACTAAGATATGGTAGTTGGGATTTGTTCATGGGCTAGCACAGTGGTCGGCAAACTGTGGCTCATGAGCCGTGGTCTGCTGCTCTGTTGACTAATGAGTTTGCCGACCACTGGGATAGCACTTCAATGTGATTCATAAGATCATCATGTAATATTTACTGACTGCTCATATACCTTTGGAAATATCAACTGACCTTATTGAAAATAGTTTGTATAGTCTAAGAATGTTTTTCAACAGCTGGCTCCATGGAGCAGTTTTATGGTCATTATTATGAAAAAGCAGTTAAAGAATCTTGAATATCCCTTCATTCTTCACTATAAAATGTTTATTTGGCCATTGTTCCCTATTATTCTTTAAATACAAACATTTCATTTCTATTTAAGACCTTCCATTTTGTTCATGAACTAGCTATTTTCCATTTGTTATTAATCTGCTTCCTTAGGACAATTTGAACATCAAATAATTATACAAATACATCTTGGAGAAAACCTTAATTGTCACTTCAAATAAACAACATGCTATTAAATTAACAGTATTAGATTATAGCAAAAACACCATTCAAATAGAAGAGGCACATTCTACAAATGTAGTGATTATTGCTGGACTTTGAAAATTGTTGTTGACTTAGCTTTGAAATGAATGTACTAACATACATGTTCTCAAATTGTTTATTTCACTTGTGTTTCTTTGTTTGAAAATGATCTTAACACTACATGAAATCACATGGGAATATGTTTTTGAGAAAAGATTATAGTTAAGTAGCAAATAAGCAGACATTGTTGTAAAAGAGTGTAGATTTTTAAATGTAGGCATATGTGTTTCCATATAAGTAGGGACTTTGAGTAAATCATAAGATGTATTTCAGATCAAGTTTTGCTGAATGGATTTTACTTCCATTTAGAAATGTGTTGTGACAATTGATGTTAAGGTGATTTTCCCTATCTCTGACTTTCCACAAAAAATTTCAGTTTTATATGCTTAATCTGACTGATATGTAATTTTACTTACAAGTTATTTATAAAAATAACCAATTTCTAGCATTAAAGTGTTAAGTGTCTACTTATTGGTGTTGCTGCTGTCTAATACAACTGCTATCTAATAACTTTTGAAGAGTTTTCTTCACTTTTTGTTTTTCTTGAGGCCCTTTTACCAGAACTTTATCCTACAGAGCTCTTATGTTCCTGATATAGTACATAAAAATTCCTTTGGAAAGGT